TTTCTCATCTCTTCAATTGAACAGATGTTTGGAGGAGATGAAATAATTTTCCAAGATGACAGTGCTTCGTGCCATAAGAAGGCTCCAACCTGCAAATCTGATCTGGCAACTTCTATCAAAGAGAGTTGGCACCAAATTGACGAAGAATACTGTTTGTCACTCATCAAGTCCATGCCTCAGAGACTGCAAGCCATTATAAAAGCCAAAGGTGGTGCAACTAAATACTAGTGATGTATTTTGAATGGTCTTTTGTTTACCGGTTTTTTTTATGATTCCATATTTTTTTCCTCAGTATTGAGTGATTCCATTTTTTACCTGTAATTGGTCAATAAAAGTAACATTCACTGACTTCCACAATGTTTTCTCTTCATTTCTTTGAGTGTTCCTGAAAGCCAACAAGTTGCACTTTGGAATGACCTTATTATTGTATCATGTTTTTGATCTGAGTTTGTTTTACAGAATGAAATGTCTGAATGAGTGCTCATCCAAGACTGGTGATTCCATACTTTTTGCCAGGGGTTGTAGTAAATTCTTAATGATGCTGAATGAGAATTGGTTTGTGATTTTTTTCTTGTGCATGATGAGTAAAGAAAACTAAAAAATGGGTAGAAATTTAATTTTGGGCACATTTAAGTGTCCCCAATTCAATTTGCTTATTGTCGTGCAGCTCTTCCATGGCCTCTCATTCATGTATATACCAACACACACACACACACACACTTGGCTGTTGTACCATTGCTTCAGTGAACTGAAGATAAGACCCAGTGTTTTCACATGTAAATGGTGTGAGCACGGATGGGAAGGAGGCTGTATTGTTAGCGTGGAGCGGCTCTGAGGAGCTCTGCTGAGGGATCGGCCAGTGCAGCCCTTATCAGATGAAGAGCAGGCCTCTGAGGAGAGGAGAGGGGGGTCGGCCGGGGACGAGGGCCGAGTAGGGTTGAGGGGCCAACGGGAGAATGGAACAGCTGGCGAAGTCACGCGTGCAACCCCGAAAACACACAGAGCCCAGACACGCTGAGCACGGTGGGAATCTCCTCAACGACCAGATCCACAAACACACGGCCTCTTATGTCATTATCAGCTAGCAGCCAGCACAGGCTGAGCACATAATCACACACAGCAGCAACAGCAGGAGAGAGAGAAAAAAATGGCTGTTTCACATAATCGCAGACACACATCCTCACAAAAACACAATCACAAAGGGTGATCGCAAATTCAGATTTCCATACTGGCGTTTTTTTTTTCTACTCCATCAAGCTAACACTCAAACAGAAAAAGATGCARCATTCAGTCTGCGAATGTCTTAAAAACATTCAGAAACTTAATAACGTCAGTTCTTACACAGTGACTTGTAGTTTATATATAGAAAAGTAAGTAATTTCATGCCCTTATGGTCCATAAATAACTGATGGAGAGCAAAATGTGTTCTCCCCACAAGGTGAATCAAAAATGGTTATAAACAAAAATTCCTATAAGGGGATCTCAGAAGGATGAATCCTAAGAAGTTATGTTCAAACGTCAATGATTATGAAATCATTCTAATGCTTATTCATGACCTTTAAACTTTAATGTTTTTGACTTGAAGCAGACTGGTTAGTAGACAAAATATACCTTGACTTCACTTTAATAAGAATGTCCTAGAATCAGCCACAATTCCAAAACAAACTGCATTTTATTCATTTCCATGTATATATAAGCATATGTATGCATAAGTCAAAGGAGCATTAGCAGCTGTAACAGTAACACTTCCTGGCCTAAGAATAGACCAGTCTGTTGGCTCTTGTCCTTCCCATTCAGGCCAGTGTTAAACACACAAACTAGAATGCTAATGGGTAATCCCTGAGGACCGACCACCTTTGTCCCAGCCTTCGGAGGATGTCTCTCTCTGGGCACCGGGTGACAGCCACCAGCCTGCCTTGCTTTGGACAACCAGCATGCTGCCAGACACTGATCTCAGTCCTCCATGGGCATGCCAGCAGGTCGCCAGTCTGTGATTGGGATCAGATGGGCCGAAGATTGACGTCTGCGCTTATTTCCTCTGTCACCTTTCCTATCTGTGATGACCCAGGAGGAGGTTGGCTATCTGCCTCGATGGAGTGAAAGTGAAAGTCTGACGCAGGGGCATTTTGTCATGCAGCAGGTGGTCTGTATGGGTCAACAAAGGGCTTCTTAATCTAATGGACTACAGCAGGAATGGTAGGTTTCTGCTTTTTCCTGCTGGACCTATAGCTCCCATTCAGTGACCTGAACAATAAGCTAAAGAAACTCAAACAAGATTTGAAAACAAATAAGTGGATTAGCAGCAAAAGGACCAACAAACACTGATTCTGCTGCTGACAATAAGGTGCACCCTTGACGTGAAATTTGTTTTTGCAATAACTTGTCAAGAAGCAAGACATTCTTCATTTGACCCATGTTGAAAAGGAGCCTTTTTTAATGCAAATCACCAAAAGGTGCTCCTAGGGTTATAAAGAGCATGTTTCTGGATCTCTGTGGATCAGGACATTCCACATCGCAAGGTGGACAGTGGGAGATGGAAGTGACATGAACAAAAAGGCCATCATTGATTTGCTCAGAGGACATTCCAGAGTGCAAGGTGCAGTAAGGAAAACCCTCCGAGGAGCTTTAATCCCTGGGGTATACTCCTGTTTTACTAATCCTTAGGATGTGATGAACTAAACTGGAAGAACACAGAAAAAAAAGTGGCACCAGGAGACTAAAATGAAGTTCTCAAACTGATGATAGCATCATGTACCATGTGTGTGGTATTATATGATTTTGGCCAAACTATACTCACATGATGATTATTTAAACAATTTATTCAGCGATGGTCCTATACTGTCTTTTATGAAATATCGGGACTTCAACTCAACTCCACACCCTCATTTGTCTTTTCACCCCAGAGAACTGGGCTTAGCTTACAGGAGCACCC